GATAAATTGAGAGTGACGATTTGTTAATTAATAGTTCATCTCGGTGTAGAAAATAAATACCGAAAATTATCCACGGCGTTAAATTTCTAAATGCGACGCAGTTTCCTCAATAAATCAATAAATCAATTCCGGTAATTAAAATTGTTCCAAATATAATATAATTAATTTTCAGTAAATAATCAATTATAAATCAATAAAATAATTAATTAAGTGGTAATTTAATTGATAAGATTTATAAAAATAGTCCATGTATTTATTTCATAAATTTACTGCGTCACAAAATTCTTAAGGAATTTGCGCGCTCAAGATGGACGCCATTGCTCGTTACTGCGTAGTTAGCTTGACTTCGGGTACCGAGAGATGCTTGACTGGTCGTGAGCTGCTGATTAGAGTGTTTCTCGATGTTCAGAAATTAATTTAATGATTTCTTAATAAAATAAATTTATTCAAGCAAAATCTAGGATGTTAATAATTATTAACCTGCAGAATTAATAATTTAGATGCTCACGACCAAACCCCAAGAGGTCTAGAACATTCCTTGGGTGTAAAATCCCCAGGAGGAATTGTTCTCAAAGCTAACGAATTTAATTGATTAAAACAATTAATTATTATTAATAAATATTATTAAACAATTTGAATTACCACTTATTAAATTAAAAATGAGAAGTAGTATCTTGATGAGCCGGGTATTTGGCCCCAAGGCTCATCATTCTCAAAGTCCAATACCTGGTGTTAATTGATTTGAAGAAACTCTTTGGTTGCTAATGGCTTCCTTCTTGGACTCCTCGATCTTACTTGTTTTAGCACTACACTACTTCTGTCGACACAACGCATGACTCGCCTATTTAATGACTCCCCAAAATACCCCCTCCTACTCTCTCTCTAGGCCCGAAGATCGATGCGCCAAAATGCTAGTCGAAAAAGTTATCGATCTCTGGCGACTTATCGATTAAGGGTAATTTACCCTGTTACAAATTATATATAGTTATATATAATTATATATGATTAGATATGATTATATTTGACCATTTTTCATATATAATCATATATAATCAATTTATATATAAATACATATAATTATATATAAATATTTTTTCTCGGGTACACAGTTTATTTATGACAAAATTACGACAGGTCAGCAGGTAGATGTGATTCAAACTGATTTTACTAAGGCGTTTGATAAGGTTGACATTTGTCTACTAATTCGCAAATTAAAAATGCTCAAAATCCCAGAAATAATTATAAACCTTCTAACAAGCTACTTGTTAGGGAGGAAGGATATTGTTTTATTTAATGGCTATTACTCTGAAGAATTTTGATCAACATCGGGTGTCCCTCAAGGTTCAAATCTTGGCCCGCTGTTATTTATAATATTTATTAATCAAGTTGGTGACATACTGCCTATATTTCTAGAACTGTTCGCAGATGATACCAAATTTTATATAGCTATTTAATCTAACTTAGATTGTCAATTTCTGCAGAAAAACATTGATGCCTTTTCCGTCTGGTGTAAGGACAATAAATTGGCACATAATGCCTCGAAATGCTATGTCATTTCTTATACTAGGTCTAATAATATTATCTACTATTCTTATAGGATTGAGGGTGTGATGCTTAATTGAGTTAATACTTGTAAAGACCTTGGTGTAACATTCGATGCTCGTTTAACGTTTACTCCTCATATCAAGAACATAGTTGTTTCGGCAATGAGAATACTGGGTTTTGTCATTAGGGTATCCAAAAAATTCAAGAATCTTAAAACCATTCTTACACTCTATTCGTCACTAGTACGCCCGAAACTTGAATATGCTGCTGTGGTTTGGTCTCCATCTTATGAGAAGTACAAGCGTGAACTTAAAAAAGTCCAAAGGAAGTTCCTAAAGTATCTTGCTTATAAGAAATACGGTGAATATCCCAAAAGGGGTACAGACTATCACTCTTTTTGCTCTGATGCAGGGTTACTTATACTCGAGGAGAGGAGAATCTATGCCTCAGTACTTTTTGTTAAAGGTCTATACAATTGTAGTATCGAATGCCCGAGATTCTTGGAACAGCTTATGATAGCAGTTCCTCAAGCTAACACGAGGTCTAACCCTCCGTTTTATCTTACCCCGGTCAGATCGAACATTGCTAGGAACTCTCCGCAATATAGGTTGATGTCGATATGTAACTACATTTGTGGTAATGACAGATTAATATTAGATATAATAGGGTTTAATCAACCGTTGACAATCAATGTACTGAAGTCCATATTATTATCGCTGAGATTTAATGAGAACATAATAATCCCCTGACGTTTTGACTTCTATGTATTTTTTCTTACTTTTCTTTTTTATTTTATTTACCTACGTATTTGGTCAATCATAAAACTAATGCTAGTATTATTAATAATATTTATTACTAATTATTTATAATATTGTATATTACTGAATGTTAAACAAATAGCTTTCAATTATTAATTATTATTAAATGGCCTTTGACCGCCGTCTCTCCAGTATTGTATGCTACAAATATATGTTAATTTAACCATAATTTAATATATCTATGTGCTCAAGATATTTGTAACTACTTAAGTATTTATTTATAATAATGTCAAATTTTTATATATATGTATTTCTATTGTAAACTATGTGACCAATGTGACTAATGTGACTATGTACCCAGTATGTACCCACTATGTACCCAAACAAAACTGCGCTCGAAAAACTATGTAGAATATGGCGCTCTCAGTGACGCGGTAAAAAGACGAAACCACTTTTCACTGATCTTGGAGTGAATTAACTCTTGAGTCACTATTTAGATAAGTGAAAAAAAAGTCATTGATTATTATTGTATTTTAAATAAATAAATGTCTAATTAAAAATTTTATAAACAAATTTTAAACTAACAATCAATCATTAGAATATTTGCCACTCAATTTATAATTCAAAGAAATTCAACTTTGATTTGTGTTGATAGATATTTTGGGTTATGACCAAGAACTGGTATAGTAAATTATCATTAAAGTTATTTATTTTTAGATAACTTTTATTTCAGAGTAAAAGAAAAATTTTTTAAATTTATAAATAAATAAATAGGAAATCCAAATTACTTACCTGTGGGCAGATGATAACTTGAATCTTCGACAAGCTTACACAAGCAAAACTGCGCTCGAAAAATGATGTAGAATATGGCGGTCTTAGTGACGGTTGTCAGTAATCCACGCACTTTTTCAGAATCTATGACAGACTATTTAACACAAATGATCGAACCGAAAATTTTAGAAAAATTTGAAAAATTCACTTTTTCCGAATTTTTTCAAATTTTTTCAATAACTCACGAACCAATCAACCAATTTTCACGTTTTTGGTGGCGATCAACGTGATTTTTTGGGCTTTAATAATTATTTCATTTCGTCAAAAACGATCCGAAAAGAAATGTCGAGGTTATGTGAAAAAAACACTTTTTTCGAAATTTTTCGTTTTTGATAACTCTCGAACAAATTAACCGATTTTGATGGGACTGGAGGCAATCGACGTGGTTTTCCAAGGTTAAGAGCTGATTAGTTTTTGGAAGTGATCGGTGAAGCCATTTAAGAGATTTTTTGAAAAAATATTTTTTTTGAAATTTTTCGTTTTCGATATCTCACGAACGAATCAACCGATTTTGACCGGTCCAACGGTGATTGACGTGGTTTTTCAAGGTTAAAAGCTGATTAGTTTTCGGAAGTGATTGGTGAAGCCATTTAACAGATTTTTTGAAAAAATATTTTTTTTGAAATTTTTCGTTTTCGATATCTTACGAACGGATCAACCGATATTGACCGGTCCAACGGCGATCGACGTGATTTTTCAAGGTTAAGAGCTGATTATTTTTTGGAATCAATCGGTAAAGCCGTTTAAAAGTTATTCCATATAAACGATTTTTTGAAAATTTTGTTTTTGAGATTTCTAAAAATCTAGCCAACCAAATCGATTCAAATTTCCACGAAATTTAATGGCAATGATACTCTTTGGATCGCCACCGATTTCGATCCGATCGGCCAAGCCGTTCAAAAATTATAAGAGGTTTACATACATACACACACACACACACACACACACATACATACATACAGCCGCACGGACACCATCGCGGGAATAGTCAAGGAAGCTTCCTAGGACCTCAAAACGTCGAGATCTGATGAAAACTCGATTTTCGAAAAACGGGGTAAAAACAATAACTTCCCGATTTTTGAAAATTTTCAATTTTCTTAGCGGGAACTTAAAAATATCAGCATGGATTCAAGCCTACATATCTCACTGATTTTATTCGCTAAGGCACAGAAGTGGTTCTAGGTCAAAAAATCCCAGAAAATATATCCCAAGCAAAAATAACCCACACAAAAATGTCCCAAGACAAATATATCCCCCAAACATAAATCCCCCTAGATAAAATATCCCACAACACAAATATCCCAAACATCTCAATATCACATAAGATTATTGAAATAGCTTATTGTTTCATGTAGATTATTTATTATTATCAACAATTTACATATTAATAACAAGCTTGTAACCGTGTTGCGCCCTTTTATCATGATTGTTGTGTGTGTTTATTCGATATTAGACGAACACACAAGCTTGTAACCGTGTTGCACCCTTCTATCATGGTTGTTGTGTGTATTTATTCGATATTAGACGAACACATAAGCTTGTAAACGTGTTGCACCCTTTTATCATGGTTGTTGTGTGTGTTTATTCGATGTTAAACCGTTTATTCGATTTAAGATATTTTTGTTAATGGGATAATTCTGCCATGGGATATTTTTGTTTTGAGATATTTTGTCGTGGGATATTTTTGTTTTGGGATATATTTACTGGGATATTGTTTACTGGGATATTATTTAGTGGGATATTATGACCGGCCACCCACAGAAGTAACTATAAAATACACTACTACCATAGTAGCTGTAAAATACACGGCTAGTTTCATAGTGAAAATATTACTATTTCATAGTGATAATTACTTATTAAAAAGTAATGTTTCAAATCAACTGTGTGAAAGTAAAATTTTCATTATTTATACGTAAAATTCACTTTTTTCCAGTGAATTAGTTGATCACTGGGAAAAACAGTGAAAATTTTACTATTTCAAGTTTAGAGAGTACCCTTCATTTCACTTATATCTTGATGAAATCCTTTTCCTTGTTCTTCGCTATAGTCTCCAAGATTTTCAGGAAACTGGTCGACGTAAGAATCCATGAAATGTAGTTTGAGGTTTGTTAACCCTTTAGAGTCTGACCTTGAAACCCCACTCTTGGATCTTAATACGGATTTGCGCGCTCCCCACTACTCTCACGCGTAGACGTTTCAAGATCCTCTGCAGAGGATGTTGGATTGCAAAGAATAGAGTCATGACTCTAAAGGGTTAAGCAACCTAAATTTTTGTAATTTGTCACCAATTGTTCCCACGTCGACCACAAAGCTCTGCAACAGCAATCTTGCTCAAATACGTGTACTTTGGGAAATTGACTTTACAGCGTATCACCAAGAAAGATCATTATACGGCATATAGCCAGAATAGCAATATTCATTCTGAAAATATTTTTTTCTCCATCGGATGTTTAAACGTTATTACTGAAAATTACATATCTACTTATTTTACTCCAGGTTTACCGTACATCAGAACTATTCCAAAAGTAACAGCAGTTGCTGGGGAGACATTACGTTTAAAATGTCCAGTTGCTGGATACCCAATAGAAGAAATAAAATGGGAACGAAGTGGACGTGAATTACCGGACAATCTTCGGCAAAAAGTTTTACCTGATGGCACTTTGGTGGTATCAAGTGTACAGAAAGAATCAGACACTGGAACTTATACTTGTTGGGCTAGAAATAAGCAAGGACATAGCGCTAGAAGATCTGGAGATATCACAGTAATAGGTAAGGCGTCGTAATTATGTTTGAACCTACTTATTGAGATTTCACAGGACAGCAATTTTGAATTTCCATCAAGGATCAAAACTTTACTGGGAAGCAGTAATGAGATTATTTTGAAATTTATAAATCAAAAATTTAATTATTTTTTAGGAATTTAAAATCAAGAGGTCCAATTATCTGTTGATGATCAGTAATATAACATCGTTACTGCTCAATCGTTAATCTTGTTGCTTTTCAGTTCCCCCGAAAATTAGTCCATTTACGGCAGATCGTGATCTTCACCTTGGAGAACGCACCAGCTTTACTTGTTCAGTCACAAGAGGCGATCAGCCAGTGAGAATCAGCTGGTTGAAAGATGGCCGCCCTTTAGGACCCTCTGAACGGGTGTCCATCACCAATGTTGATCAGTTTAATAGCATACTGATGATTGAAAGTTTATCTCCAGATCATAATGGGAATTATTCCTGTGTTGCTTCTAATCCAGCTGCAGAGGTATCACACATGCAGCAACTTGTGGTTCATGGTAATCCTCCCTCTAGGCCCCGAGATTAGCCTACGGACGCCCTGACCGCCCGTTTGTAAGAGAGCGTGCTTGATGCGTCTTTTTTATACCATTTTCCGAAATTTATCTGAAACCACTGACCAAACATAGTCACTGAATTAAAAACAACCATTTTTAAATATTGATTGAAATATAAATATATCCATATATTTTTGGTCAGTGGAATGAGCACCGAGTGTAAAGTAAAATTGATAAGATATCGTTAAATAATGAGGCTCTGATATTCAGATTTTCCTATTGCACGAGACCTATCATAAAAGCTTCCGTACTCCTTTAAAAAAAAAATTCTTACTTCTTATTGATTAGACACAATGTCTTTACTTTTTACTTTTACAGTAAAAGATATAGGTTGCATGCGCTAAATCTTCTGATTTCTTAATAGCTAATAAAAAACATATCTATTGAATTTTAATCAATTACTTAAAGTCATTGTCGATAATCAAGAAGTCACACGAATGCCGCGATAAAATGCACGCTGATGCGTCGAATGTATGATGTTATAATTCGAATGAATGCGATGAAAAATATATATAAATAAATATATTTTGTTATTTAAATGTAAATGAAGGGCGGCAGGTGCATATCCATAGTGGGGCCAGCCTTTCACGTTATCTCTGTCTCTTCTCTCAGTTACTACGTTATTGCCTTTATACTGTACATATATATTTATAAATATTGTAATTATAAATATTTTTTATTCTGTAAGTACATGTACGTACTACTATCCCATAATGCATATACCTAATATATCTACATATATATAAATCTATTATTTTGTTATTAGATCGCAAGGTGTAAAATTAGAGATTTAACTGCTGATTTCTTCAAAAAGTAGTTAAAAAAAAAATGGTACTTGTAAATTTTTTGTGATACGAGAAATTTATGTTTTACTCTGGAAATTTCCATAAATAATTTAAGCCCGAGAATCCTTTAAAAATACGTTATATTTTAATTAAATCATATAATGTTAGCATTAAAATCCGGTATTTCTAAATTTTTTAACCTTTTTTTTTCATTCTATTTTTGAATAATGAGTCAGTAGTCCGATCTCTGATCCATATCTGCACCATTTGATTTTAAAGTTATAGACTAGCACATTTATATGTATGTACATATATATATATATATATATTCATATATGTATAAGATTTTTTATTTGTTAATATTTATATATTGTTCGTTGCGTTACTTTTAAATTATCTTTTTCTCACTCTCATGAATGGTTCTTTCTTCTCTCTTGACCTTTTCCAGTACCCCCTATAATTGAGCCATTTAACTTCCAAGAGGGACTTTCTGAGGGAATGCGGACTCGGACGGTGTGCGGGGTCGCGGCAGGTGATCAACCCCTCACAATATCCTGGCTCAAAGATGGCCATAGTCCTTTTCAATTATCACCAAAATCTTTATCCGATACTAGTATTTCCCAACTAGATTCCTATTCCAGTCTTCTCAGTTTGTCGAACTTGGCAGCTGAGCATTCAGGCGACTATACCTGTGTCGCCGCGAACCCCGCCGCTGAGGTCAGGTACACGGCCAAGCTTCAGGTAAAAGGTAACTAGCTGATGAGCGATCCCAATCCTAATAACGAATTTCCAACACATCATTTAATTACCATCCGAACAATTTTTACGGGATTTAGTAAATAATTATGAATCCAAATTGCATAAAATAAAATTCATTTTTTTTGTCATCAAAATCAAATATGTTAGAAAATATATACCGAGCTAAAAGTAAACTTCTTTTCTACATATTCTATAAAGTCAATTGTTGTTATAAAGCTTACTCAGTTTATTTGATAAAATCTCTGTGATTATTAACAATACATCATTGTCCTTTTAAACAGGAGACTTATATACTCATTCATTAAAATTTTTGCCAGAGCTATAAGTAGAACTCGATGAAATGACTTGTATTCAAATTAATAATATTTCAATAATTTTCTAAGCCTGGCAAGAATTCGTTTTCATTATTAGATAAATACTAAACTCAGATAACATTAACACTTGCTAACTGTAGACTTGCTATTCCCTTTAATATTCCTTAACCTACAAACACAGTGTGTATTACATTTACGTTGCTTTGGCTCTCTGGGAATGCATCGATATCTCGTCAATTCCTCAAGGTTTGCTTGACTTGACCAAATAAAAAAGGTAACAGATGCACCATCCTTAATTTTTGTGATTAATTCTCTTCATTAGAAATATTACGAATGATTATTTTTTAACTTGTAAATATAATAGATGCTGATGAAAAACATTATATGCATGAATCTTTTACTATTAGATGTTCACCGATTTTATAATATTTATATTTTCAACCCTTTTTGCTGTGACTTCTTCCTGGATTCTCGAAGATGAAGCTGTTATTAATTTATAGCATGAATGCAACTATCTTGTGATTTATATACTTTTTAAACATTTTTCTAAAACTGTGCACTCTTTTCAACTATCTTTTTTATCAGTATTATTAAATTACTTCTATGATTTTATACAATAGTCTCTTTTCATAAAAAGCGTGGACAAGCATACGTGTTTGAGGAGTAGTACGTTTTAAAAGTTATTTCTATCTATATTTTGCAACATAATGATTTGTAGTGAAATCACTTCTTTAGATTATCTATAAGTATTTGAATACTTACTACGATCAGTATCTCTAGCTTGTCCGCGCTTTACATTATTATGTTATGTAAGCTAGTAGTACGTATACTTATATTTATTTCTTTTATCCGTGTATATCGAATTAGACATAAGAAGCGAATAAATTCATTTTCCGGCTTATTTAAGAAATTTTTACCGGCTTTAGTTAAATTATGTGGCCATCGGTATAACCTACCAAAACCTTATTCCTTTCTTCTTATGATAAAAACTCCTAGTATTTAATGCCTCACGCGATTGTACGTCTTATTCACGCCAAGTAATATAAATACGAGTAATTTAAACATTTTTATACACCTGCGACTTGAACGTGACGCATAACAATATCGTAATACGTTGATTATCCTACTCACAGTATTTTCGCTTGTGCAGCGTTTTCTTCACAACCGTAAAATTAGAACCCAAACTACCTCTGAATTACCTTTCATTCAAAAAATACTTATCAAGCAACGCAAAGTGTACAGCAAAAACATACAAATTCATTTTAAAAAAAGTTAACATAATATTAATGATATAAATGATATAATTTTAATATATCATTTACTACCAAAACATATTAAGAAAATAAAAGGTAACATGAACAGTTCTAACAAATTCTACGGACTCATTCGGTGTCAAATCAACCAATAGTTGGAATCAACCCTTTTCAATTTAGATGAAATTTGATGACAAGTTTTCTTTCATCATAAAACCAAAATTTACCATGGAAAAAAAAATTTTATAAGTTTTTTCAAAAGTTATTCAAAATTCAAAATTTCACTATTTTTTCAATTCTTCAATATTATTTTTCAAAAGTATCAGAAAATATTATAAATACAGAACTTAACCTTTGTATAAAGTAAAGGAGATACTTGGGAAAATAGAAATCAAAATTTTTAAAATGAAAAATTTTTTGGATTTTTGATTATTAAAGAAAAAATTTCACTTCTCTGAGCAAATTATAGTTTAGATAAACATATAAGTTTACAATTCTCTACTGAAAAAAGTTTTTATTATGAAATAAAAACTTCAAAACACAAACTATTAAAATTGAATTATACGACATTCTGGAGTTTTTCATATTATTTGGCGAATCTATCTGATTAATTCCAAAATTTTGTTCCAAATAATTTATTTTCAAGTTTTTAGTTAATTTGTCATTTAACGATGAGTTTAGAAAAGGGGTGGAGATAGGATAAAGAGAAAGGGGGACCCACTCCCATAATTTTGTCGTACGGATGGATGATGTATTTTGTAGAATAATTGATCTGGTTAGTTAAGAGAAAAAAATTGAAAGGGATTAAAATGAACTGGTTGTATACAAACTATTTATCTACATTATATTAATATACAGATAGATACTTGCATTTGGTGACCTCTTTTGAATTATTTTCAATTCTTTTTATTAAACAGGATAGGAGGTATGCATTGTTTTGTCATAATCAATTTCAAGTATTATTTTATTATCGATTTAAATAATATTTTTACAATATGGATACAATCTGAAATTTAGGCCTTCGGATACAGTCAGACTGATGTTTTAGGGTTTCAAACTATCGATATTCAATAAGGCTTTCAAGACTCAATAATCTTGACCATTTGATATTTCATTATAAACTTAACCTGGACTATTCTTCAAAAAATCTTATAAATAAAAAAAATAGTTTTTTGCTATACATTTTGCGTATGATCCTATAGTGACCCCATTTAACATTTTTTATCCAATCTCATTTGATTGATTCTGGCTTCAAAGTAATGGGCATCTCATCTAATTTCACAAACACTATACTCCGGAATTTTAATTAAAATGAAGCAATGACATTCGATGAACAAAATTCGTAAACTTTAAAGAAAAATTTTAAATTATATTCAAACTTTAATTACGAAATTATGAGTTTTTTCGCGTTATATGAACTACTTTTTTCAATATTGCTTCTAAATAACGTCAAACATTCGTTCGGTTGAAAATAAACAAACTTTTTTATAACAATTACAATACTATTTGGATGAAAAATTATGGATGAAATCTGAACAGATAAAATCTTTTCTTTATAGTGCCGCCACATTGGATCGTAGAACCAATGGATACGAGTGTCGAAAGAAATCGACATGTCGCATTGCATTGCCAAGCTCAGGGTGTGCCAACTCCGACTATTATATGGAAAAGAGGCACGGGTAGGTTATTTTTAGTTGAAAAAATATTTCTTAATTTAATTTCTTGATTATTATTATTATTAGCAGTAGCTTGTAATTTTTAAGTGTTCTAAGAATTTTTGTCCTTGTTTTCACTGTCGCAACTTTTATTAAAATCCTAGCTTATCAAAGCCCTAGAAACTACGACGCCACCGCTAAAACTTCGAGAAAACTCGGAGTATCGATGGAGTTTAACGGTAGAAATGCGTAGTTTTGTGTGCAGTTGCGACACGAAATTCTGACGGCGTTTTGTCGGAGTTTCCTTGAAGTACTGCCCAGTGTTTTCTCTGACTATTTACGGAGTCTTATCGGTGTTCTCGCGGAACATTGTGTACTTCAATTTTTTTTAAAAGTCCTCGTAGATAGATTTAGGAATTTCATAAAAAGTGAAATATTTTGTAACCACGCACACCAAGTACGTTCCAAAATTGTTTCTTTTAATTTTTAAATTTACAACAAAATTTTTTTTAATTTCCGAAAATCATATACAACCAATCGGTTACTTAGATTTTTTAATTTTTTATTTTATATCTTTTTGTAAAGAAATAAGATTTTTTTTTATTAATAATCTTATGAACGTGGACTTGGCGCGATTTTTTTTACAGTGAAACTGTTTTTGTTCGGATTTCAGTATTTTTTGTAACTATAATAAAAATTGACAGTTTTAATTTAATACATTTCCGGTGGCAAACTATTCCCTTTAAGCTATAGTTCATATAAAAGTTATTCTTGCGCCGCCTGGCGTGTGTAATTGCAAGCTGTCAAATATCTTTTTTTCACTGTAGTTTCCCATCTATTATAAGATTAGCATGCATCCTTATATTATTTATTCTCTGGCCGTCCGCTTTTTACATAAGAAAAAAGTTAAAATCTAAAAATCTGGGTCGCTATAGTTTGTGCTGATTATTTTTAATAATTTTAAATAGAAATTATAAAGATAATTGATAATAATCAAGTAATATGCGTAATAAAAAGCATGAACTACTATTATTAAATATAATATAAAAAAAAATCAAAATCAATTAAAAAAAAAAATTTGTAACCTCAAAAAACCGTTCTGCTTACGGTATATACACACTCGGTAGTCTCGCTTGAGAACGGAACTTGGCGCCAGACTCTATCGAGTCTGTTGATTAACTAAGACCTCAATATAGCGTGATAACTCAAAACGATAACTAAAAATATAACCTGGAGCTCTAACAATTCTCTTAATAAATCTCAATCACCCTCGTAACTTCTACAAAACCCAAAAATATCCAATAAGACCCCAATCGAAACTAACTCAAAAATCGTAAATAAAAACGTACTCAAAAATTAACCCCATAATAAACTCGACATAAAAACTAACATACCTTTAACATACCGTTCCTCGAGCAAGGATATCCCTTGGTGATTATTCTTCTGGGATTGGCTTTGGATTGGAACCATACACGTAAAATATATCTCAAAAATAATATCCAAAAATGACCATTTGGCTTCCACCGCCGGCATGGTCAGCTGCCTTCGGTGGCCTGCCACCCGTACCGTATCTGACCAAGTGCTGACTCCCGACGAAGTTGGTCAATCCTCGCCGTAGCCAAACAAAAATTAAAAATGCCGTAAACGGCATACCGGTTCCAACTTCAACCAAATCCCCAATACTGGAGCGCTGATATTACAATCAGACGTTTATAATTCACCAGGAAATCTCAGAGGGCTAGCATCTACGAGACCGGGTGACTCCAAGGTCCCGCTCTACGACAACGTAGACTCGTCCACAAGCTCGAGACGCCAACTTAATTTTCACTAAACTTTAACCATCTACTTAAACTGACTCTAAACTAACTCTTTCCAAAATATAAAATACTGTAACTCAAATATAAAATTCTAAAACGATACTAATAGCTGTAGCATAAACGAAGACTTTACTACGAAACAAAACTGTAGTCAAGATGGCTGAAAAAAAAGCCGTGAACGACTTTCTGCTGTATTCTGTAACCTGCGACTGTACTCGACAAGAGCCTAAACTGGACTGTATGTCTTCACTCGGCAAAGGCCGGGACTAGTCTGATCTGATCTGTTCGCGGGATCGACGATGATCGTTCGGGTCGATACTCCTTCCCTATAACTCGACTATATCACGTGACTTTAACTACTATACTGTATCCCTACCTATAGCTTTACTTGATACCCAAAATACCTGCTTTATCTACCACTGAATTATCACAATTTAATCAATCATAACCTCAAACCAAATAAAATAATTTTGAGTTATCACTAGAGGTAACAAAAGACAGATTTATAGGACTGTGCCTTGTGACATTCACTTAACATAGACCCCCATCAAAAAAATAACGTCATAATATATATTAGGGTGTGCCAATTTTAGGCGACTTTTTTTTTTCAACGAAAAAACAGGCTGAAAACTTGCATGTAGGTGAGAATAAAAGCCTGTTCAAAGCGGAGCTCTTAATATTAATATTTAGAGGTGTCTGTT